GAGGGAGCGAGCGAGCGTTGTTTTCCTTTTTGTTCATCTTCGCGTTCTTCCCCCGCGAGGCCGAAAATTGGTCGGCGTCGAAGGCGCGAATAAAGAGGTGGGCGGAGGGGAAAAAAGCGCGAGGAATATCGATATGCGGGCGAGCTAAAACAGAATCGGAATGAGACAGGAGGCCGGCGCTTTGAGGGGCCGCCGATCAAAGCACGGCCCGAGAGGCATGGAAAACTCTTTCCCCTCTCTCACTCTCTTTCTCTCTCTCATTCTCTCTCTCTCATTTTTTACCTCTCGCCACAGCTCGCCCGTCTCCATCCCGTTCCTCCCGGGTTATTTCCGGGACTTGCTAAATCGCTGTGCAGAAAACTGCTCGCCCCGTAAAAGGAGCCGGCCAGAGGAGAACTAGGCGAAAATGGTTCCTCGGCGAGACGTCGATGTTGCAGTATTTCTGTCTTCGCGAGCGTGTTCGACTCGCATAAGCGATCCCTCTTCTGACTCGCAACTTTCCGAAGTAGCCGTGGGTCCTTGAAATCGACCAGCAACCGTGGGCCGGTTTCTCTCTATTAACCCTTTGCACTCGAGCGGTGACTCAGAGGAACCACTAAAATTTGTTACGTCACGTTGTAAGATGATTTTTATATTAACAAAGTTTAGATTTAAAGAAATTGTTAAGAGTGCAATTATTGCGCGAGTCCCAAGAGTCAATTTCATATGCATAAAATGCATTTTATCATAGAAAATAAAAATGCTATAAGTGAGAAAACTGATTTTATATTTACAGTTAAAATAGCTTCGAGTGCAAAGGGTTGAATGAATTCGAGAGGAGCCAATTACTGTGCGCCCTGTCGCCGCGCTGTTAAAAAGAAATTATGACAATTTCGTTGATATTTCTTACCAGGCAACGCCACTCTAGCGACCTGAAAAATACTGTAATTTTGACAATTTTTTTTTATGGCAATATAGCAAATGCAATGGAAAATCTGGTTGATCTTCATTGTACATGTTTTCAAGAGTGGTTACGATTTTGTGTTCAACTTCTTTTCAGAGAACGACGGAATTGAGGATTATGTAAAAAATTGTTTATAACAAAGAAAGTTTACATTTCAATCCGAGATAATGCGATTTTACAGCTACGATGAAAATTTCAAGCGAATTGCTCAAGATCTATCGGAATTATTTTTTCGAACAGTTTGCAAAATGTAGTTTTGATGTATAAGCATTTATAATTTTAGGTAATTACTGTAATGTCTCTCTAATTGACGCTCGGATTGCCCACAAAAATGGACAATTTGGGAAGAGGAGATACGATTGCTCGAGCCTTGTGGCTCGTTTTTTATACTTATCGATTGTCAACAACTATAAAAACTAGCTTCAAGGCACGAATAATCGTAAAATTGTCCATTTTTTCTGCACAATCGGAGCGTCAATTAGGGAGACATTACTGTAGTTCTAAAAGTCCCTAAAGCACAATTTAACACAACTTGAGAACTCGAAGGTTTGCGAACTTCTTTTTCTCGATATAAACGTCCTCGTGGAATTAACGTTCCCAAATTATCTTTAAATAATAAAGGTAGGAGGAAAAAGTAAATTTGATTTCCTAAAAAAAGAATATAATTTCAAAATAAATCGCTTAAAAGTTCGCACTACAGAGAACTGTTTTAATAAAATTTCATATCTACATTTCCTTTCCAGAAGAATATGACAGAGACGATTTGAGATTTGAGATTATGTCAGTCTAAATATGACATAATCTCTATCTATCCTGTCTGGATCGCGTTGGATTTAAATTTGGCCTATCCCGCGATAAGCGTCACACAGTAACTAGCGCATGAGGCGTAAGACAGGTTCGGTTACTGCACACAGAAACAACGGACGACGATTGTCCGTTTCAATCCTCGTTAATATTTTTACTGTATAGATCAGCGTACTCAGTTTTAGCAGCCGTTCATGGAAACTCTGATGCGACAGTATGAAGTGTCGTTCATCATCAACGTCGCATCCTGCCGTGTTATGTTCCTGTCCCAATACCGTCGCTGAGAGATATTTGTCAATTTGAGGACCACTTTTAACCAGTGGTCAACTTCTTCTGGTAAACTTAACTTTTGGTTAATGAAAGCATCCGATCCCGTGGCAGTTTCCTGGACAGGAATGCGCCGTCTCTGCGGGAGCTTCGTGAAAAGTGTATTCGCGGAAGCAATATTTTGGAATCTGCACAGCAAACGGCGGGAACAAATTACATGTTCCGTCACGATTATTAACACGTTCCGTGCCGAGCTTTTTTTACTCGAATCTTCACACTTTGATATTTTACTAAAACTATTACGTGCAATTATTAATTCTCGTCCACATAACAACGTAACAAAAACTTATCAACGCCCATTCTTGCGGTGGAAATTGATTCTTCGGTTCTAAATTTCTTGTAAACAATTTGTTCAGTTCACTAAGTAAACATGCAAGCGTGTACCATCGATGGTACACGTGGCACCGAACGTGTTAAAGAAGAAAAACATTTCGTAGAAAAAGGTTTCACGAATTTTGAACGCCATTTCTTGTTCGCAGAATTTTCCAAAATAGCGGCACGCCTACGCCCGCGAGTCAAAACTGCACTTCGTATCGGGGCCGATTCATCTGATTTGATTAGGCTCGCTAATCCGGTCGATTCGAAGATTACCAATCTTGCGTAATTGACGTTCCGCGACGGGCGACGGGAGGCTCGCCTGCGACCCGCGAACCTAATTATTCGAGTGGCTGGAATTGACGTAACAAGTTCAGGGACAGCGGCGGGCTAATTAAAAATTGTTAACGTTCCCAGGGATCCGGGTCGGCGTTCCCGTAAGTCGCGACCTAACTGTCCCTTTGTTCGAAGCGAGCCGTGACAGGACGCGTTGTTGATTATCGGTTGCATACTGTCCCGGCTATCGGATAATTATTTACGTCTCTGGAGATAGCGGAGTTCACGGCGCCGCGCCGCTTTGATACGGCGGAATTAATTATTAATTACATTGATCGTGTGTGACGCGCGGCTCGTTAGTACACGGCCCCGTAGCTTGTATCACTCTCGAGCCGCGATCGCGTTATAGAGATTAATTTACGGTCACGATGAGTGGCGAGACTCTTGCGGACCTTTCTCCTGGAAACCATCGCCGGCTGTCGATACATCATCCCCGGGATATCAGAATCATTCGACGAACATTGTTCACGGTGGTCTCGTTGTCTCGTTGTAACGAACGCGTCTGGTCGCTAATGTGACCAATTGACCTTTTGGCACCGTCGCGATGATCATTGAATCGTGATCATGGATAAGTTTTGAGTAAGTTTGAGGCAGAGTTATTTCTTTCGAGTTATTCGAGTGAACAATTGTTCGGATAAAGAGATATTCGAGTAAAGAATTCGAGTTCGAATGAAGAATTGTTCGAGTAAATAGATAGAATAATTTATGACGAATAGTGAATTATTCGAATGAAATATTTGGCTAAAAGGGATTCGTTCGGAAGATTATTTTAGATAAATAATTATGCCTCAAACTTATTTGTTTAAGATAATCTTTCCAATGAATTCGTTTTAGACGAATATTTTATTCGAATAATTCTTTATAAGTTATAAATTATTCTATCTATTTATTCGAATAATTCTTTATAAGTTATAAATTATTCTATCTATTTATTCGAATAATTCTTTATTCGTTATAAATTATTTTATCTATTTACTCGAATAATTCTTTATTCGTCGTAAATTATTCTATCTATTTACTCGAATAATTCTTTATTCGTCGTAAATTATTTTATCTATTTACTCGAATAATTCTTCATTCGAATGATTCTTTATTCGAATAATTCTTTATTCGAACGATTTTTTACTCGAATATCTATTCGAATGATTTTTTACTCGAATATCTCTTCATTCG